ATGAACCATTATTCTATAAATTACAGAAAAACAGGCTGTCTTGGATGTTTTTTGATAGATTGAACGGTAGAGGGAAGGGAAGGGATAGAGTTAATGCATTTGTACACCTATGTTAGTCTCCTCTTGTGTACTTCCTACGCAAACTACGAATATGAAACCTTCCTCCCACTTTTGCTCTATTTCCTTAAAGTCCACACTTGCCCCTGTAAGATCGTTTGCTTTGTATTCATTAACTTAGTGCCTTGTCTAATTGTGTCTTTTAAGTTAATGAATAACTTCTTGAGATTTCACAACTTTCCAGAATGATTTCAACTTTGAGAAGAGGGATTGGATGACTGTTGGTTTAAGAGACTTGCCAGAAGGATCCAAATTGGTATGTTGGAAATCCTCGGCTTTGAATAACTTGACATTGTTTTGAATAACCCATCTTATCTTGTGCCTTGAGTAGATCATGGGGTTTAATCCCCCTTTCTCCACGGCAAATGAATTTATAAGCAAAGCTCTCACATTCAGACCGAAGCTTTTAATTATTACTGTTCCGAAAGAAACAAAAAGGTGAAGATTTATATTATGAAAGCAGCATGTTCAGTTATTTTCTGCTTACCGCTTGATTTATCAATCTTCTGCCATTGCAGACTTGATAAAAGAAAGAATCCTTATGATTTAATTTGGGAAGATGACGTTATCTTGGCTGGCAAGGTGCAAAAGATTGAAAACCTAAGATTTTTACTGCCTCATTTTTCTCTTTACAAATGATATGACTCGGTTGTTATGCCAGTCCTTTTACCTGCCAGGATCAATTAATGTGCATAACCAGCAGATGGAGCAATGGAACATCGTGTCCCCTCCATTGTATCTGTGGAGTCGCCCAGATTGGACTGCTAAGCACAAAGCAGTAGCTATGCAGCACGGGCATATTAGAAAGTCTGAAGCAGAAGGAAACATAGTAAATACAGGGATCACAAATTACTTGATGCAAGAAACGCATGATTGCTATGGTGACTTTTCCGACATCCTGACCAGCTGTGGTGACATTAGTAGCTTGCTGGATGATATTCCTGAGATTTCTATTGATGCTGAATATAATCAAAATCAACATTTTGGAGTTCCTGAGCAGGATATGTGCTACCAAGGTAAGGATGAAAATGAAACGTCACCAGCTGAGGATATGTGCATTGACATGGATCTGTCAACTCCAACGAATTCCCCACTTCACTGAAAGATCAAGTCTAGGCCTTCGTCATGTCTCAACTTTTGGTAGTGTCGCTTGAAATTTTCATTTTTAATGATAAGGTTACTGTACAGTAGAATATCCACAGATAATATTACAAGTAGATTTGGTAATCTACTTGCTCTGCAGACTTCCAAAAACTGAAACCATAATATATGTTGCAGAGTGAAGGTTCCAGGGCAACATGCATGGTCCCTTTTTGGAGCTAAATCTTATGAGGTAGTGGATGGTTAAGCCTAAAATGAAAAATTAATATGGAGAGCAGACCATGGTGCTATCCAATAGAATATCATAATTAATTTGAATACCAACATATATGATCCATCCATGATTTATCAAAAATTTAAGTGAGCCTAATTTTATTTGAAATTTGTTAAAATTCTAATAATTATAGTCCCTTGTATGAGTTTTAAGTAATATTCAATATTTTTTTAAAATAACTATAATTTATTATTTTTTTATAAAAAATATGCTCAAATTTAGAAGCATAAGTAACTAGAGTTGTTCATGGTTATGGTTAAAAAATCAAATTGAACTGCAATCCGAACCATATCGATTAAAAATATTGATGTTTGGTTTGATTTTAAATTTTGAAAATTGATATTATTTGGTTTGATTTTGGTTTTACTAAAAACAATTGCAAAAATAACCAAATTGAATTGATAAATTAGACATATGTTATAAAATAATATATTGTGGATGTCCATTGCATCAAGAAGTTACTCCATTACTTTCCTCCATTATGAAGATAACCATAACCTCCATAACCTCCACCTTTATAACCATTATTCTTGTAACATTTCACTTCCATAACCTCCCCATTATATTCATGTTAATGTCATGTTTATGACTAACCTTTTGTATGCCTCTATGTTACACTATAAATAGAGGCATAAGGGTTCATATTGTATATACTTGAAGATTTGGTGAACACTTGAATACTATGAAGAATAAGAAAAACTATCATCTCTTGTTTTCCTATTCTCAACACCACTATTTATAGGATTACATTGAGGAATACCAAAAGGTGTCATAAACATTACATTAAACCTTGAGAATTACTACCCATTAAGGAGGAAATAAACCTAGGAGTTATGGTCATCCAATTAACCATATTATCAACAACATTACTACCAATAAAGGATGAAATTAACCTAGGAGTTATGGTCATCCATTTGACCACATTATCAACAACATTACTACTCATAAAGGAGGGAAATTAACCAAGGAGTTATGGTCATCCATTTAACCACCAAAATGATTTACAACACTCCCCCTTGGATGACCATTGATAGATAATATGCCTCGTTAAAACCTTACTAAGAAAAAAAAAAACCTGTGGAAAAAAATAATCTTAGTGAAGGACAAAAGAGTACACATATCTTGTAATACACTTTGTTTGCTGCCTCGTTAAAAACCTTGCCAGGAAAATCCATTGGGATAAAACCTAGGTCAAGGGAAAAAGAGTGCAGCGCGTAGTTTACTCCCCCTGTTGCGAACATCATTTAATTTCTTGGAGACGACGCATTCCAATCTTGAATACCAACTTTTCAAATGTTGAGGTTGGTAATGCTTTAGTGAAAAGATCCGCTAAATTATCAACTGAGCGAATTTGTTGAACATTTATTTCACTTTTTTTCTCAAGATCATGAGTGAAAAAGAATTTTGGTGAAATGTGTTTTGTTCTATCTCCTTTGATATATCCTCCCTTCAGTTGAGCTATACATGCAGCATTGTCTTCGTATAATGTAGTTGGAATATCTTTTTCCATAGAAAAACCACACATTTCTTGAATATGTTGAGTCATTGATCTCAACCAAACACATTCCCGACTCGCTTCATGGATGGCTATTATTTCGGCATGATTTGAAGAAGTAGCAGCTAATGTTTGCTTCATTGAACGCCAAGATATAGCTGTGCCTCCATATGTAAATAAATAGCCTGTCTGAGATCGAGCTTTATGTGGATCAGACAAATATCCAGCATCTGCATAACCAATCATTTCTGACTTGGATTTATTAGAATAAAATAATCATATCAATGGTTCCCTGAAGGTATCTTAATATATGTTTGACTCCATTCCAATGTCTCTTTGTTGGAGACGAGCTGAATCTTGCCAATAAAGTTACTGCAAAACAGATATCTGGTTGAGTATTATTAGAAAGATACATAAGCGCCCCAATGGCGCTAAGATATGGAGTTTCATTGCCAAGAAGCTCTTCATCATTTTCTTGAGGTCGAAATGGATCTTTATGTATGTCAAGCGATCTCACAACCATCGGGGTACTCAATGGATGTGATTTATCCATGTAAAATCACTTTAAAACCTTTTCTGTGTATGTTGATTGATGAACAAATATTCCATTTTTCAAATGCTCAATCTGTAGGCCAAGACAAAATTTTGTCTTACCAAGATCTTTCATTTCAAATTCTTTTGTTAAACACTCAACGGCTTTTGAAAGCTCTTTAGGAGTGCCAATGATATTTAAATCATCAACATATACAACTATTATAACAAAATCAGATCCAGACCTTTTTATAAAAACACAAGGACAAATAGGGTCATTTCTGTACCCTTTCTTTAGCAAAAATTGGCTAAGACGATTGTACCACATTCGCCTTGATTGTTTCAATCCATATAAGGATTTTTGAAGCCTTATCGAACAATTTTCTTGCGAATTTTTATATGCGTCAGGCACATTGTATGCTTCAGGAACTTTCATGAAAATAATCTGGTCCAATGAGCCGTATAAATAGGCTGTGACAACATCCATTAGACGCATTTCAAGCTTTTCATGAACTGTCAGATTTATTAGATACCTGAAGGTAATTGCATCCACTACTGGAGAATATGTCTCCACATAATCAATGCCAGGCCTTTGCGAAAAACCTTGTGCCACAAGTCGTGCTTTATATATGACGACTTCACCTTTTTCATTTCGTTTTCGCACAAAAACCCATTTGTACCCCACTGGCTTAACACCTTCAGGTGTTTGGACTATTGGTCCAAAAACTTCACGTTTTTCAAGTGAAGTCAATTCCGCTTGAATTGCTTCCTTCCATTTTGGCCAATCATTTCTCTGTCTACATTCATTGACAGATTTTGGTTCAAAATCCTCACCATGTTGCATTATTTCAACAGCAACATTATAAGCAAAAATATTGTCCACCACAATACTATTTCGATTCCACATTTTTCTCGTCGAGACATAACTTATTGAGATTTCTTCATTCTCATTATTTTTAGTTTATATTGTTCCTCTTGTCTTATAGTCTTCTTCTCTTCCTCTTTATATTGTTCTTTTGTCCTTAAGTTTTACAAAACGTTATCAGCACGAAACTCTGATATCATTTCGATTTTTCCAAGTTAAGCTTCTAGTATGTATTCATATACTTAATTCTCATTATTAATCACTCTAATATAATATACTATATATTATGAAACGATTAGGTGTTAAACAATGTGTGTATATTTTTGGTAGTTAAACAATGGAAATATATAAGTCCAAAAAGTTTATGTTATTTTAAATTAGTTAAATTTTAATTTTGTCTAGAAATTTTTCTAGAAATTATTTAAGTTATATGTTAGGCAGAATGTTCATTTAAATTGCTCGGAAGTTTGATACTAACACATTAAGTTACTAATTGATGTTACTTTATACAATAACATGTGTCATGTTAATTTCATTGAAAAAAAAGTTTTGTTAATTACTTGTGTACTCACTATTTATTTTAGTCTAATTTAATTATTTTCTATGATAGTTTTATCATGTCGAACTTATCAAAGCTTGAGTTCGTGGCACTTGACATTTCTGGAAATAATTACTTGTCATGGGTACTCGACGCTGAAATTCACCTTGACGCTAAAGGTCTTGGGGCCACTATTACCAACGGTAATACAACGTCGAGTCATGACAAAGCAAAGACAATGATTTTCCTTCGTCATCATCTGGATGAAGGATTGAAGGATTGAAGGTTGAATACCTTACGGTGAAAGATCCACTTGAATTGTGGACTGGTTTGAAGGAAAGGTATGACCACCTTAAGGCAACGGTATTGCCAAGGGCTCGTTATGAATGAATTCACTTGCGGTTACAAGATTTTAAAACTATATGTGAATATAATTCTGCTGTATACAAAATTACTTCCCAATTAAAATTATGTGGGGAAGATATAAAAGATGAGGACATGTTGGAAAAGACTCTCACAACTTTTCATGCCTCAAATTTGGTATTACAGCAGCAATACCGTGAAAGGGGATTCAAAAAGTATTCTGAGTTGATCTCATGCCTTCTTGTGGCTGAGCAACATAATACTCTTTTATTGAAAAATCTTGAGGCCCGTCCCACGGGAACTACTTCGTTACTGGAAGCAAATGAGGTTGAAGCACATGGCCAGTCTGAAAGAAGAAAAAATAAAAATCAAGGCCAAAATAATGTGCGTGGACGTGGCAATGGTAGAGGACGATATAATAATCGTCGTGGTGGTGGTCGCCACAAAAGGGAGAACAATATGGGTTCTCAAAGCAATCCTTCAAGAGGCAATTGTCATCGTTGTGGCTTGAAAGGGCATTGGAAGAATGAATGTCGAGCAGCTGAGCATTTTGTTAGGCTTTATCAAGATTCCTTGAAAAGAAAAGGAAATAAAAATGGTGCATCTTCTTCTAATGCTCGGGTGGAGTCACACTTGACTTATAAAAATTATGCCGAGGCAGGGCCTTCACAAAAATATGATGACAATATTGAAGCAAATTTGGCTTTAAAAGATGATGATTTTGGTGACCTTGATGATATTACTCATTTGGAAGTTGAAGACTTCTTTGGAGATCAAAATTAATATTTGATCATTTGATTGGGGAAAATAACTATGTTGTTTTATTTATGTGTTTTTTATTGTTATGTTTTTCCTTATGTTGTTTTTATATTCAGAAAAAAAAAAGTACTTTTATTTTCTTGCAAAGTTGTTGATTTTTCATATTTCTTATGATGTACTTTTATTTTATGAAGATAAATAAAATTCCCCAATCTTCAATTGGTTCAAGATGAGTAATGGAGATATGTGTCTTCTTGATAGTGCTACAACTAACACTATTTTAAGAGAAAAGAAATATTTCTCTACTTTAATTGTGAAAAAGGCTTATGTTAATACAATATCTGGTAGTGCAAAACTAATTGAGGGCTCTGGAAGAGCGGCCTTACTACTACCTGGGGGAACGATATTAACTATTGAAAATGCATTGTACTGTAGTAAGTCTCAAAGAAACTTATTAAGTTTCAAGGTTATTCGCCAAAATGGCTATCATGTTGAGACTGCCAATGAAGGAAAGATTGAATACCTTTATATTACTACAATAAAATTGGGACAAAAATATGTGCATGAAAAATTACCCGCATTTTCTTCTGGATTGTACCATACAAGTATTAGTATGGTTGAATCACATGCCATAGTAAACAAAGGGCTTTCTAATTCTAATGATTTTATCATTTGGCATGACCGGTTGGGCCATCCCGGTTATAATATGATGCGCAAAATTATTGAGAATTCACATGGGCATACTTTGAAGAATCAGAAAATTCTTCATTCAAAGAAATTCTCTTGTGCTGCTTGTTCTCAAGGAAAATTGGTTATTAAACCATCAGCAGCTAAGGTTGGGATTGAAACCCCTGCATTTTTGGAACGTATACATGGTGATATATGTGGGCCAATTCACCCTCCATGTGGGCCATTTAAATATTATATGGTCTTGATAGATGCATCTACAAGATGGTCACATGTGTGATTATTATCAACTCGCAATATGGCTTTTGCGAGGTTGTTGGCTCAAATAATAAGATTAAGAGCACAATTTCCAGATTATGCAATAAAGACAATTCATTTTGATAATGCTGGTGAGTTTACATCGCAGGCCTTTAATGATTATTGTTTGTCCACTGGAATAACAATTGAACATCCAGTTGCTCATGTTCACACTCAAAATGGTCTAGCGGAATCTTTGATTAAGCGTCTCCAATTGATAGCTAGACCATTGTTAATGAGGACAAAGTTGCCTGGTTCAATATGGGGACATGCTATTTTGCATGCAGCAGCATTGGTGCGCATAAGACCAACTAGTTATCATGAATTCTCTCCATTACAGTTGGTTTTTGGTCATGATCCAAATATTTCTCATCTTAGAATTTTTGGGTGCGCGGTATACGTTCCAATTGCCCTACCGCTACGCACAAAGATAGGTCCCCAAAGAAGGTTGGGAGTGTATGTTGGGTATGAATCTCCTTCTATTATCAAATATTTGGAACCTATGATAGGAGATATATTTATGGCAAGGTTTGCTGATTGTCATTTTGATGAATCAGTATACCCAACATTAGAGGGAGAACATAAACAGTTGGAAAAAGAGATAGATTGGAATTCATTATCTCTATCTCATTTGGATCCTCGAACAAATCAATGTGAGCAAGAGGTTAAAAAGATGATTTGTTTGCAAAATGTTGCAAATCAATTGCCAGATGCATTTACTAACCTTCCAAGGGTTACTAAATCTTATATTCCAGCTGCAAATGCTCCAGTTCGAGTTGATGTCCCGATAGGACAAATTGTTAAAGCAAATGAGTCTAAATCACGTTTAAAACGTGGTAGGCCAATTGGTTCAAAAGATAAAAATCCTCGAAAAAGAAAAGGAACAAATGATTATGAAGATCATACCATAGAGGAAATTGCTCAAGAAGAGCCCCGAGACATAACAAATGATAAGACCACAAAGAAGGTTCAAATAACTGAAAATAATGAGAATGAAGAAATCTCAATAGGTTATGTCTCGACGAGAAAAATGTGGAATCGAAATAGTATTGTGGTGGACAATATTTTTGCTTATAATGTTGCTGTTGAAATAATGCAACATGGTGAGGATTTTGAACCAAAATCTGTCAATGAATGTAGACAGAGAAATGATTGGCCAAAATGGAAGGAAGCAATTCAAGCGGAATTGACTTCACTTGAAAAACGTGAAGTTTTTGGACCAATAGTCCAAACACCTGAAGGTGTCAAGCCAGTGGGGTACAAATGGGTTTTTGTGCGAAAACGAAATGAAAAAGGTGAAGTCGTCAGATATAAAGCACGACTTGTGGCACAAGGTTTTTTGCAAAGGCCTGGCATTGATTATGTGGAGACATATTTTCCAGTGGTGGATGCAATTACCTTCAGGTATCTAATAAATATGGCAGTTCATGAAAAGCTTGAAATGCGTCTAATGGATGTTGTCACAGCCTATTTATATGGCTCATTGGACCACGATATTTTCATGAAAGTTCCTGAAGCATACAATGTGCCTGACGCATATAAAATTCGCAAGAAAATTGTTCGATAAGGCTTCAAAAATCCTTATATGGATTGAAACAATCAGGGCGAATGTGGTACAATCGTCTTAGCCAATATTTGCTAAAGGAAGGGTATATAAATGACCCTATTTGTCCTTGTGTTTTTATAAAAAGGTCTGGATCTGATTTTGTTATAATAGCTGTATATGTTGATGATTTAAATATCATTGGCACTCCTAAAGAGCTTTCAAAAGCCGTTGAGTGTTTAACAAAAGAATTTGAAATGAAAGATCTTGGTAAGACAAAATTTTGTCTTGGCCTACAGATTGAGCATTTGAAAAATGGAATATTTGTTCATCAATCAACATACACAGAAAAGGTTTTAAAGTGATTTTACATGGATAAATCACATCCATTGAGTACCCCGATGGTTGTGAGATCGCTTGACATACATAAAGATCCATTTCGACCTCAAGAAAATGATGAAGAGCTTCTTGGCAATGAAACTCCATATCTTAGTGCCATTGGGGCGCTTATGTATCTTGCTAATAATACTCGACCAGATATCTGTTTTGCAGTAAGTTTATTGGCAAGATTCAGCTCGTCTCCAACAAAGAGACATTGGAATGGAGTCAAACATATATTAAGATATCTTCAGGGAACCATTGATATGGGATTATTTTATTCTAATAAATCCAAGTCAGAAATGATTGGTTATGCAGATGCTGGATATTTGTCTGATCCACATAAAGCTCGATCTCAGACAGGCTATTTATTTACATATGGAGGCACAGCTATATCTTGGCGTTGAATGAAGCAAACATTAGCTGCTACTTCTTCAAATCATGCCGAAATAATAGCCATCCATGAAGCGAGTCGGGAATGTGTTTGGTTGAGATCAATGACTCAACATATTCAAGAAATGTGTGGTTTTTCTATGGAAAAAGATATTCCAACTACATTATACGAAGACAATGCTGCATGTATAGCTCAACTGAAGGGAGGATATATTAAAGGAGATAGAACAAAACACATTTCACCAAAATTCTTTTTCACTCATGATCTTGAGAAAAAAGGTGAAATAAATGTTCAACAAATTCGCTCAGTTGATAATTTAGCGGATCTTTTCACTAAAGCATTACCAACCTCAACATTTGAAAAGTTGGTATTCAAGATTGGAATGCGTCGTCTCCAAGAAATTAAATGATGTTCGCAACAGGGGGAGTAAACTACGCGCTGCACTCTTTTTCCCTTGACTTAGGTTTTATCCCAATGGGTTTTCCTGGCAAGGTTTTTAACGAGGCAGCAAACAAAGCGTATTACAAGATATGTGTACTCTTTTGTCCTTCACTAAGATTTTTCTTTTTTCCATAGGATTTTTTTTTCTTAGTAAGGTTTTAACGAGGCATATTATCTATCAATGGTCATCCAAGGGGGAGTGTTGTAAATCATTTTGGTGGTTAAATGGATGACCATAACCCCTTGGTTAATTTCCCTCCTTTATGAGTAGTAATGTTGTTGATAATGTGGTCAAATGGATGACCATAACTCCTAGGTTTATTTCCTCCTTAATGGGTAGTAATTCTCAAGGTTTAATGTAATGTTTATGACACCTTTTGGTATTCCTCAATGTAATCCTATAAATAGTGGTGTTGAGAATAATGTTGAATACACTTGAAAGAAAGAATGTTAGTCTATATTGTTCCTCTTGTCTTATAGTCTTCTTCTCTTCCTCTTTATATTGTTCTTTTGTCCTTAAGTTTTACAACACGCTTTCACTTCCATAATCTCCCCATTATATTCATGTTAATGTCATGTTTGTGTGTATGCCTCTATGTTACATTATAAATAAAGGCATACGGGTTCATATTGTATACACTTGAAGACTTGGAATAATAAGAAAAGCTCTCATCTCTTGTTTTACTATTTCTATTGCTATCATCTTTTATATTTCCTGTCTTGTTTTACTTTAGTTTTACAACACGTTATCAGCACGAATGTTCTACCATTGCAGGATTGAAGCAAAGTAAATAAAAGAAGGTAAATTAATTGTGTTTATTTTTCTCTCGGAAACAAGGTAAATTATTGTGGAATCTATTTTATATTTTACTTGTGAAAAGGTGAATGATTAATATAATTGTTAATGTGCATTTCTTTTTCCACCTATATACTTTCTTTTGCATGTGAAACTTATTTTATATTTTACTTTTGATTATGCATCATTAGTTTTCTTACCATCTCAAAATCATATGAGTCCAGCAAGTTGCTTTTACTTTGAGCAAACTTTAATTTGATCACTTATATATTTAAATAGTAAAATTAGTTTTGTAAGTTAAAAATCTGTAAAGAAATTGTTCTTTATGATCTTGTTTTACTAAAAGATAAGTTATTGAGTTATGTGGCATATACATATTGATTGGATTATCATTATTGGTTACTTTTGTACCTCTTTATTTTTCTTTATCTAAACATTTACTTTTTGAGTTATTAATATTATTTGTACTAACAAAGTTTGTTTTGTGGTTATTTTAAAATGGTTAGTAAATTATGTTAAATCTTCGTAACAATATTGAGAAGGAATGTTAAAAGGTTTTAATTCATTTTAACTTGGGACTTTTACATGATTCCAACATGTTGTTCTAATTAATTAGTTTTGTTCATTATAACTCAATTTTAAGTCAAATTCAGATTATATTTATGGTATTCAATATTTATTTTTTTGGTAATGCATTTGGTTTATTAAGACATTGATTGAGGGTAAGACGGTGAATTCAAGTTTCACCGCACCGAGTGGGTAAGACATCGAGTAAAGTCTCGGTGCTCCATGATAATAAGAAGTTGGGTTCAAGTCCCATTGATTTATGACCAAAGGCGTCTTTATATGGGTAAGACATTGGGTTTAAGTCCTAATGCACTATAATGATGATATATCAGATGACTAACCTAAAGTTGTATACTTTTGACTGAAAGTCATGAAATTTGCCCAATTATTTTGTTCCATTCTCTAATGTGAATGTGGTAGCAGTGCATATTATGTCTGAAAAATGACAAGTGGTTGAATGTATGAATATGGGTGTGGTAAAATGTTAACGGTCATCATTGTGGTATGAAAGGTTATTGAGCACATTGTTTATTAAGATGGTCCTTCAATTGTGAATGTAATTTTTATCCATCAAAGTGGTATGAAAAGATATTGGGCACATTGTTGTTGATGCAAGCCAATTTGAAAAGTTTTGTAAATCCTCCATCAAAATAAATGAATACAAAGTGGTTGTACATTTGGTACATTTGACCCCTTAAAGTGATGTTGAGGTGAGTCACATAAATTTGATAATGCCAAAGCATGACAATGAGTTTCTAATAAAAACTTATGGAACATGTACAAAATGGTTATGTTCATTTCTTGAAGAGAATGTGACTTGTGTTCATATGGATAAGGACATGTTCATGTATGGTTGGATAATTG